ACACACACACACACACACACATACGAGAATATATTTATATATGAGGAAACAAAAAATATGAGAGTATATATTTATTTTAAAAAAAATTCATATTAGTGGTCCGCGGGATTTAAAATTATGAATTTAGTGGTCCATGAGGTCCGAAAGGTTGGCGACCGATGCTTTAAAGCACTTTGTTGTGTTTTAAAGTAAGGGGTTTTTGGTTGCTTTTGGCCCACCTCACTATAATCTGACTGGCTTTCCTAGTTCATTTGTGTCTCACATGCTCCTCCCTCCCAGCACTGCAGCTCACAGTGGGAGGGTTTCAACAGTAGAAGCAATGCTGTCAATACAGAGAGAAATGGGCGGGGTTAGGCGTGTCCAGTTGCCGATTGACAAGTTGTAGGCTCGGGATTCAGCAGTGACAATGATGATTGCAATGTCTTCTCATCCCACCATAGTATAAGCAGGCACAGCCTACATTGGAGTGACAACACTGCTCTGAATTCAGAAGCAGTGCAGCAGCGTTGTAACCTCATCACAGGAAGCTGCGTGAGGCAGCTTCCTGTGTTCACTAACTAGATCAAGCTATTTGTCAGATTTTGCAGGGTAACTTAGGGAGAAGTGTAAGTGTAAATGCCCGTACAATTAAGAACCGCAGCGCATATTTTATAATAGAAAGTCATAGTTCTACTTTGAATAATAACTCTAAATTGGTTGTTATGTCAAATATGCTAAATAGCCGTTTTATTCATTATATGATACTATTAAAAGTGGACCTGTCATTGCAATTCCTAGTTCTCAATCAGTTATACAAAGACCAGAATTACTAAATCAATTTCTTTTAGTCTCTTTTCATGTTGTGGAAATTCCTCCCCACTTCCTGTGTGCTCATCGGGACAGAACGTGATGTGAAATCTCTCCAGGGGACCTAGACAGCACTAAATTCCAGACAGAAATTTAAACCCTTCTTTACTTCATGCAAAACTAAAAAAAAAAAAGGCTTTAGCTAAAGCTCTACTTTAACACGGATGAACAAGGAAAGTACTTACTGTGGTCGCTTGAAATAACATATGGGACATAAACCTTTTCGTCATCGGATTTTGGCCACAGGCAGATGCCCTTGGGGCACACACTATTGCCCCTTTTTGTGCTCGTAGCGATGTCCAAATCCTTAATTCTATAGTTCTTAGAGTATATCGGTCCTAAAAGATTAAATACATGGTGTTTGTTAAAGGGAGCAGTATTGTGTCCTTCCATCCTAAGTGCTGCCCTGAAAAAGCTTTAAAGTTTACACTGTAATCTTCTTGAATCTTGGTGAGCTTTGTGTATTTCTTCCAGATCTGTGCAATAATCCTGCGTGAGACTTGGAGCAGTCTCCACCCCCTCCTGTAGTTTTCTGTAATCAAGACCAGTCACTGCTGCTCTCTTTCCTTGTGCAGGGTGACTGGTCTTGTCTCCACCCCCTCCTGTAGTTTCCTGTAATCAAGACCAGTCACTTCTGCTCTCTCTCCTTGTGCAGGTTGACTGGTCTTGGTCATACATGCACACTATAATGCCATTTTAGGTACAAGGCAGGTGGCAGGTAGGTAGTGATGGGTAAGCATATCACTATCAGGGACGTGCGGTCAGGGGAGGCAGGTTTTGACAGGTAGTTAGGTTACACAGCAGCGGGCTTCCCCACTGTTTGAGTAACCTAATTACTGAGACAAGAGCTGTCACAGCCTCTACTCTGTGTTAGAGGCTTGAGCTCTGTGGATGGCTTGGACCAATGGCAAAGTGCCATTGGTCCAAGCTGTCCAATCAAAAAAAGAAAACACCTGAGGCCATCAGATCACTATATTTTTAGGATTTTGGAGGATGACCCTGAGAGGGCTGTACCTGGGGTCTCCAGCTCTGTAAACTTAGCATTAAAATAATTTAAAGCACCTCTGTCATCTGCTAACCAAAAATGAAAGCACATCCTCCTTACTAAAAATACATACCTGTCCTGCTACCATCGCTGCTGTTTTCCATCTATACTGCAACCTGAAGACTCTTCTGCATCTGGCACACTTCCCGGTTTGTTGTATGCCTGGTTCCCCACTGTACTCCATGGCTCTTCCTAATGGGTCCTGTGGGGATGTAGGGGTCACAGAGCATAGAGGGGACCAGACATCTGACACTCTTTGAAGTATGTCAGATGCTAGAGACACTTCAGGCAGTGGTATCTATGGAAAACAGGAAAATGGCGGCACTGGAAGCAGGGCACGTACATTTTTAAAAGACTTCATTTTTAGTGAGCATGTGCTTTGAATTTTTGTGTCGAGGTGACAGGTTCTCTTTAATCCACTGTATTCCCTGATACGGTATAAAAGATATAAAACTGGTAGCTTATGGTTCATAAATATATTACATGCAGAGTGCCGGCGGACTGCGGCTTTAAAATGCAGCAGGAGAGTGATGTGGTGATCGATCAGAATGTTCAGCACAAAACCTTACCTTTATTGGCTTCATGAATCAGATCAGATACGGATTTGTTCTGTGTTGTGTCACCTGTAAAGTGGAGAAATCCGGTGTAAAGCTTACATCATATGTTAGAATGTTAGAATGTATTTGTATTGGCTGATTCTCTCCTTTTGTCATCAATTCAGCTGCATGTTCTATAATAATATTATTTATTTTTTACGTATATATTTATACGTCTTTATATTCCCCTCCCAGTAAAACGAGATATAAGCTCCACTTTAATGCTATGTTAACGGTTTCAAAGTCAAACAACTCGCCATCTCCACTGGCTTCCAGTATACCGCTCCTTTCTCTCCAGTCGGTCTCTGTGGATTTCATATGAAATGATCATTGAAATGAGATCAGCAGTATGAGATAGAACTAATACTGATATAGTACAATCTCTACAGGCAGTCCCCTGGTTACGAACAAGATAGGGACTGTAGGTTTGTTCTTAAGTTGAATTTGTATGCAAGGTGTATTTTAAGTGTAACTCCAGCCCCAATTTTTTTTTTTACCCCCTGTAAAGTTTGTTTTGCTGTGTGTGCCCCTGTTCAGAAGATTTCACCTCACTTTCTGTCTCTGTGACAATTGGATTTTGAAAATGTTGGGTTGTTGTGGAAACAAGGATTGGTGATGAAGCTTCAGTGGAGACATCTTTTTCCCATGATCACTCTTAAAGGGGTTCTAAACCCTCCGGTTTTTTTTTGCCTATATCTACTGCTAGCAAGCAGTAGATATAGGCAAGAAGTTTAAAAAAACGCTTTAACTAGGTTTAAACTTACCTCGTTATCGCTGCGCGTTCCCGCGCCGAGAATCAAGAACTGCTCGTACGGCCGCAAAGGATCTTGGGGCGGGCGCATGCGCAGTTCTGATTCTCGGCCGGGAGACGTGCAGGGACACAAGGTAAGTCTATGGAAGCGTGCCCCCGCATGCAGACACCGCTGGACCGGAGGGACAGAGCAGTCAGCGCTGGATCGGAGTGACGTGGCACCGCTGGAGGGACAGATGAAAACATCAGGAAAGAAGATCGGAATAAGAGACATCATTTAACGTAAGTGCTAACATTAACATGGGGGGAGGGAATTTTTTTTTTAACTTTAATGTCACTTTAAGGTCGACTTTCATTGTGCGATGGTTGTGAGGTGATTAAAATTTCGTACGACCTGCCCATCATGGACAGGCAGATCGTACTTGCGATCATCGCAAGTCCACCCTGCTGAGGGGAGGGCTTGCAGATAATTGCAATGGTGAGGGGGCAGTGTGGGCTTGCGCACCTCGGGTCGTGCGGCTTTCGTCTTGCGATCACGCTACCAACCCGCCAAAAATCGTGCAATTTTTGGCGGGTTTTCTAGCATGCTCGTTAAACGAAAATCAAACGACCGTACAGTAAATGCGGTCGCACGCTGCCCATCAACCTTACGACTGACGATTATAATCGTCAGGTGTATGAGCAGCTTTACAGGAGTAAATTTCCCTTCCTAGTTGTAGATTTCCTTTCACTTCCTGTTGTCTCAAGGACAGGAAGTGAGATTAAATCTTTCTAATGAGGATACAGACAGCAATAAAAACCTCACAGTGACCCGGAAGAAGAGGCGGGCATCCCTCGTCTGCACGTCTAACAAGAGCCAACTTCCTGTAATGTACATACAGCACTACGAACCAGACCAAAAAAGGTGGGCACTCCTCGTCAGCACGAGCACCGCGGTAGCATTACAACTACCCCTGCTGTACAGTAATAGCCTCCATTTATAAGTAGGAGTCGGATGTAAGTCAGATGTATGTAAACCGGGGACTGCCTGCATTTGCAGCCAGAAGCCTCTATCCCTCTTTCTTCCTCCTTCATTCTTCTTTGTGGTTTGATTCATAGATTTCACTACCGAAAGTGTAACACTGCACTAAACTTTCATCCAGCCGGTGAGTGATTGCATTTGCTATTTTTAAAAGTCACCATAGGAAAATTAGTGATAAGACAAATATGACTTTGGGGGTCTCATCATCATTCTTTGCATACTAATTCCTCCTTGTTCACATAACTGGGGGGTTGGAATGGGGTGCGCCGTTTGCTAAATACTTTGAGCTGAAAGGTGTCCCTCTGTCACATCTCAGAAAGTTGGGAGGCATCCCTATGCAGATGTTGGATCGGCTGAGGTGAATGTTTTCTACACTTTGGCTCAGCTGAACTCGCTGAGGTTATTCGGCTGAACCAAAGTGAAGTGAAGGGAGCAGATGGCAGCTGATGTACATCTGTTTTCAGCCACACAGGGCTGAAGTGAATAGCCAAACGGCATTCGGCTCGCTTCACTTTGGGTCGGTTATTCACTCGGCTGCTTTCGGCAGCTTAGTAAATAACCCCTTATATCTCTGCAGTTCACTTGGAACAATACAAAGAGAGGCCAACACTAGGTAACATATGTTTGGGCATTCTTACATAGTAAGAATGTAAGCATAGTATGTAAGCATTCTTACATAGTTACATAGTATGAAAGGTTGAAAAAAGAAACAGGTCCATCAAGTTCAACCTTTGTGTGTGTGGTGTGCGTGCGTGTATATAAGAGTCTCTGTGTGGTCTAGTATTTAAGTGTACCTGTACCCCTGTATGTTACGGTCTCCTAGGATGGTATCAAATAGATTTTTGAATGAATCAATACTCTCTGCAGATACCACTGCTTGTGGCAGAGAGTTCCAAAATGTAACCACTCTGACTGAGAAGAAGCCCCTACGCCCTTTGTGGATAGATCTATTCTCCACCAATTTTAGGTGGTGACCTCTAGTCTTTGTTATGGAGTTTACAGTAAGAAGTTTAGTGCAAATGTTGCTCTTGTCTCAGCATACAGGTATTAAAGGTGCATCATTTTATAACTGGACATAAGCCCTTTACCAGTCAAGTCTGATTGTCCGCTCATGTTTATAACTAACTTTCAGCAGCCCCTCAGTCTTACCTGGTGTCCCCGTTATCTCTCTCTTCTTCCTTTGTTGCAGTTTCTGTTGAAATAAACATACAATTCCATTAACAAAGGTAGACAATATGGGGAAAATGAGTAACACCTTACACATCAATGTGTCTGATAAGGATTACAGAATGATATGAGCTGATTGGCTGCTATTGGCAACACCTTAACTGTATTTATTTTTTTAAAATTTTCATACATGTTACTTCAACGTGACTTTTATCAGCATTACTGTATAAGAATCATGTTTGACCAAGAAGATTTTTCATCCAATTTGTACGTACATGTTAGATCAGTTTAGATGCATTGAATTCTGGTGGGTGGGTATTATTCAGGCAGAACATCAGAATAACTCATTCAATGAATCCTGACTTGTAAGCAGAGACAACAAGCAACAACTTCTGAAACGCATTCTATATATAAATTGCTGGGCTGAATCCTGAAGAATTGATAAATACCTTTCAGACCAGTGGTTCTCAACCTTTCTAGGGCCGGGACCCCTTGGTAACATTTGCCAAGTTGTGGTAGCCCCCAACGATAAAATTTAGTGATGACGCGGCTGCTGCAGCAACATCTGGCAGCGTGGCGGGAGAACTGACACTGCTGCGCTAGGAGAGGGATGAGGAGGACTCTCACCTTATTATTGTTTATTTTTTAATAATTTGTTTCTTATTTCTTTTTAATCGCTTTTTTATTTTTTTAATCGCTTTTTTATTTTTTTAATCGCTTTTTTATTTTTTTAATTCTTTTATTTTTATTTCTTTAATAATTTTTTAATCTATTTTTTTCCCACTTAACTTCATTGCTATCACACAGAGGTAAAAAGCCCCTCTGTAATAGCAATTGGAGGTGACAGGTTCTCTTTATTGACCCTGTCACCTCCAATACAGAAATCCTAGCACAGCACTGTGCTGGAACTTCTGTGAAAGGTGAGGGGGGGAAGACTGCTATCCCCTCTCACTGTGCACACGGAGCGGCAGGTGGCCGGAAGCCGCTAGGCGACCCCTGGCAAATCGTAATTCGACCCCCGAAGGGTCCCGACCCCCAGGTTGAGAAACACTGTTTTAGACAAATCTGTGACCGGTATTCATTAACTTTTCAAGAATCATAGCATCCTGTGGGGGTTTCCTTTGTCTTTTGACCAAACATACTTCATTTTGAAATATTCAGCCAAAACAGAAAAATTAAACATTGTGAAGGTTCATCGTTAAGCAATAATATTAGTTGTCAGGGAACACGCAGAAAATGTTATAGGTCCTACCCCCTGACCATTTGTGACTATGTTTTGGGAAGTCAGGCCACATGCATGACAAATATTGATGGACATAAGACATTGACTGTCAGGGGTCTATTCACAAAGCTGCCGAGGGCAGCCGAGTGAATGACCGATCAGAAGTGAAGTGAGCCGAACACTGTTCGATTGCAAACAATCTTTTCTGATATATAATATTTTTTTGAAATATTGTTTCATAAGCAGAATTTTTTCACCTAAAATCATACATTTGGTGACATTTGGTGGCATTTCCGTACGTCAAAATTCGTACGATTTACACTGTACAGTACATGCTCAGACGAAAATACAGGGATAGGTTAGTCACCTTGCCTATTGCCACTCCACTGACTCAGGTGTCCTGTTACTGTCACACTAGATGTTCTATCACTGACGACAAATCACCAGAGGTATCAGAATCAGTAAAAAATCAATTCTACTTCTCTTATGGCATTGCTCTCTCCATATGTAAACACTCACTAGCAATCTAGTTTCTGCTGCATTACAGTGAGTGATAAAACACCATCCATCAGAGAACGTGGCTGTTACATTTCAGTGATTGTGTCACTGGTCGGTGGGACATGGCCCCTAGACCTAAACATGGGGATTTGTAGTAGATCAATCATGTTTCTAAAATCTCCTGTGATTGCCTACAGTAGCAATCTCTAACACATCAACCAATGGCTCCCTCCACTGCAGGCTACACAAGAAGCACATAGTAGACACTGGTAGTATCATCTACACACAACTGCAGTATTGTGTGACCGTGTGCAGTGAATGAATATCACATCATAAACATCCATTAATTTAATGTGTGAAGCTGCCCATACACCTTACAACCATCGCACGACTTTTGTTGTGCGATGGTTGTAAGGTCATTAAAATTTTGTACGATCTGCCCATGACAGGCAGATCGTACTTGCGATCAACGCAAGCCCGCCCCGGTGAGGGCTTCCGATGATTGCAATGCTGAGCGGGCAGTGTGTGCTTGCGCACACCGGCCCGTGCGGCATTCGTCTCCCGAGCACGCCACTAACCCGCCCGAAAATCGTACGATTTTCGGCAGGTTTTCAAGCGTGCTCGGAAGACGAATGTCGTGCGACCGTAACGTAGAAGAGGTCGCACGCTGCCCATACACTTGCTGATTATTGTACGATCACGGGATCACCTACGATTATCGTACGATAATCGGTACGTGTATGGGCACCTTTAGAGATCAACTGCTACTCTAAATTAGTTATCACTGGAGAATTTAGTTACATACTTCAGAAAACATGTAGATTTGGCATTATCATTACTAGCCTAACAATACAAATCTGTCTAATTCCAGACCATAAAGTCTGAATGAGTTTTATACTCACCTGAGACGGTAAGGTGAAGCACACGCAGCACATAGCGGTGAGAAGTAGTAGGGTCTTCATTATCTCTCTGCTTAAGATCTTGCTCTGCTGAGATCCTCCTTCGGTAAGGCTTTTGTGTGACTTGCCACCTTGCATTAACTGTAGCCCTTGCTGTCCTATATATACCACTGGCCGGTCCAGCTAAGCCCACCCACCAAAATACTTTGATGCTCTGTATTGGTAGAAACTTGCTGCACAAGGTTGCTCCACCTGTTTAGTTTATAGATTTTATATTTACTTTTTCTTGTTTATAATGCAAATTGAGGAAATTCAGAAAAAGCACAAAACTTATGATGCGTGTGTTTTATGAGTCTACTATTAATTTCAGTTGGCCTTCCTAATGCACAAAAATGCAGCATGTACTATATTTTAACCCACTGATCTGCAATGCAAAAATGTGAACTAGGCACATAGAAATACAGTGGAATCCTGTGTGAAATGCATGTGTTGTACTACAGGAATAATGATAAATGAGAACATGTCCTTATTTAATATAACTTAAAGAAGAACTATGGGGTTAGGGCTTTTCCCTCATAGTTCTCCTAAGGGTAACGGGAGGACACAAACTAGCGTCCTCCCGTCACCCAAAGCTCAGCTGTAGCTCGCGGTATACTGAGACGCCGCAGCCAGAACGGATCCCGACAATTCTGTCTGGATCCACCCAGCTGCGTGAGTGACGCCTGGCTCTGCCCATTTAGAGGCAGAGCCAGCTGTACCCGCCCCCTCCCCCGTCCATTCCGCCAGTCAGCACTGAGTGACAGTTACGGCTCTCTGCACGGATAGATCGAGAAGTGAGCGAGCGCCGGTATGTGTTCGCTCACTTCCGGTTCTATTGAGCCGACCTGTGACAGTTTAATTGTCACAAGTCGGCTCAGATTATGAGGCTGAGTGAAAATCACTCAGCTCATAATTCTCCTTTAAACAGCATTCCATTGCAACCAATCAGAATTTAATTTCCAGTGATCTGACTTTAGAGGAATACATTCTGATTTAGTGTTTTATGGAATTCTGTACTAATGAGTTGGCGCCCAAAGCAGAACTGAAAATTTTAAAAAAATTATTTGAGGAACAATTTTTCCCCTTTTAGCAATTTTTTGTTCGTGTTCACTCCCTGCCCATTCCCAGCATCTGTGAGATGCCAAGAACAGAGCCGGGTTCTGGGATAATGTAACCCCAGCATGAATGCACATTATTAGTGACCTCCTAATGGCCAAAGACAGAAGATGCCAGGTCGATAGAAGCGATAGAAGCAGCGTAGAAGATGGCCACTGTGGTAGGCCAGCTAGCAAGCAATTGAGCTGCAAGTTTGAAAATGACTTGCTAAACTATTGCTAGACTTGCCAAGCTTCACAATTTTGTAGCACAATTACAGCAAGTCTGCATTGCAAGTCTCCAGACCAACGTGCTTTGCAAAAGTGCTGAACACTTGCAGAGCTCTTGCTAAGACCTGCAGGACTCTTGCTGTAGACTTGCCAAGCAAATTTGCTATAAATTCAAAAAGTGTCACCTAGAACTTGTGCTGCAAGTGTTCTGCAAGTCCACAACTTGCCAGGGAATGTGTCCAGCAGGTTAGAAATAATTACTATTTAACCCTGCCACGAGTTTGTGGCACGTTATCCTTGCTATCTGGGAGATAACGTGAAGACAGTGATTGTGGAACTATCAGCGCTGGAGGAGGGCAAACCCAGAGGAAGGCCTGCTATCATGTGCATTCTGCTATATGCGTATTTGCACATTATGGGAAAGGCTGCCGACTCTCGGCCCCCTGTAGTTTTGCTTGAGCAATAGGAACTCTTTATGCATAGTATCAAACCGAGGACTGAACAAAACGTTTTGTCTTCATGTTACTAAACTGGTTTGTATCCCTGGCATTCAGATGTAATTCCAGCAATCAGACCCCTTCCTTGCTTTTATGTGTGATACATAATGACCTAAACAGAAACTACCATTCATACCCGAAAAAGCCACTAAAGTCACTTATCAAATAATATCAATGTTTCCTTTTTTTCTCCCTACTGCCTTATTCTGTTTCCTCTCTCACTATAATTTCTCTCATTTTGTTTGATTTATTTATCTTATTCCTATCTCATGGTTTTTTAGACATTTCATCAATATTGAGTATCAATAGTAATTTTTCTCTAAATTTGGATTGATTAGGGAATAGGTAAAACTGCCACCAATTGTTTTTGCTCTCTATGTACTGTTGGGGTGATTTCCCTTTACTTAGACACAACAAGCGCGAGGGAAAATTCCACCAAACTGAGGGAAAATCCTCTCTTAGTTGTCACCAGAACATGGGGTTCCCATTGGAAGATCCCCGCACCTCCTGTTTGGTGACAACCATGAAATGTAGGATTTTTCTCATCACTAACTGTCCCGGTGACAGTGGTCGCCAGGACAAATAGAAAGGATAATGCACCCCAGTGGAAGACAACAATATAAAAAGAGTTCTAACCTTTCCCTATTCTAGGCAAAATGAAAAACAAATGTTTTGGTTTTAGATAACCTTCCAGGGGCTGACTTATAAAGCATTTACCCAATGTATAGCTTAACATACGATGTTCTCTGCGCATTATTGCCACTAGATGAAGCCGCTGGACAAACACTTTATAAATCAGCCCCGCTAGTCTGAGAGGTCTTTGACATGTACTGTACCTAGTATTTAGGTTTTTAACCTGGTAAGCAGGTAATTTAACCTGAATAAACAAAATTACAGGAAACCTGTTGTTTGATATCATCTTCCATTAGGATTTCGCATATGAAGAGAAGTCTGACCCCAAATGCCTATCTCTCTGATCTCTGCCTGTCAATAGTATAATGCCTAAGTAATGTTCATTGATAGGAAGACTGTTGGATAAAATGGTTTTCATGTCATCAGAAGGAGTATCAGAACCCTAGGGCTTGATATGCTGATTATATTCCCATATTCTTGCGTCCTGTTTCATGGCTCCTGTTCTACTATGAAGTGTGTTCTTGCAAAAATTATTTGTGAAATAAAAAATGTATAAATAATACATCTCATTACTAATGTCATATTAACACTATTATCTGCCCCATCCAGGGTCTCTGCTTACAGTCCTCAGCTCAGTGCCATTCCTTGTCTGCTATCAAGGGTTTAGCATCCTTTTCCCTAGATCTGGAAGGTCACAGCCTGATGACTCTCTCTGCTCTCCATCAGCTCTAGGAACATGAATCACTGCCAATGTACCTCCCATAATGTGCAACATTATTACAGGAACTAAACTTTGGAAGCCACTTAAATCAGTTTATAACCAGAAAAAGCGCACATGGTGGAGCAATTCTCTCTATATATATATATATGAAGCCGCACTGCTACACTAGGATCAGCGTGTTTCCATTGAAGTGTATGGAGCAAAATGAGCTGATCAGCGAGACAAACGCTCAGGGACTGTTTTAAGCGACAGGCTTATTTGTATACACGATTCTGTGCATTTGCGTGAACAGCCCACATTGGAATGTATGGCATTGTATTTGCATGAATTTCAGCGCGTAAAAGTCCGTACGACGAAACCGCCCTGGTGTGAATGGGGCAGAATACAGGAACCAAAAATTGGAAGCCACTTGAATCAGGTTATAACCAGAAAAAGTTAGCACATAGTGGGGCAATTCTCTCTATATATGAAGCCACGCTGCCGCACTATGCTTAGCTACTGTATAGAGAAACTCAAGAAAAAAAACAAAAACATTTTAAAGGAACACTTTCTGGAGAGCCACTTAGGGGCTTCCATTTTATTCATTATTATTTATTTATTACAGATATTTATATAGCGCTGACAATTTGTGCATTGCTTTACAAACTGGACCTTCACATCAAATCTGCCCTCAAGGATCTTATAGTCTAAGGCAGTGCTCCCCAACCTTTTTATCGCCGCGGACCGGTCAACGTTTGATAATTTTACCGTGGCCCGCTGAGGGGGGGACGTTGATTGTTTATATTTTAGATTATTAGAACTAGAACCCTAATTACGTTAAAATGTGTGACCACGTCACTGGTCACACATTCTAACGTAGTCTCAAACTTTGATAGATCACATGCCTACCTGTAATCATTTAATCAGAGAAATAGATTATAATAGGGAACATTACAGTGTAATATTCCCCATTATAATCCACTAATCTAATTACAAGAAACAGCATGAAATAGCTGTACACAACTAACTATCCAGATATTTATCACCCCTCTACAAACTCCCCCATCCAGATACAGACCGACATATCTCTACCCAGCTGCTGCTGCCTCCTCTCCCCCCTCCCGCGCTCGGACTTACCCAGCCAGGGAGTTGTGTGCACTGACTGCAGGGGGCGGGGCTTGTGACACACACGTCTCCTGTGACTCACCTCCCCTCCCGCCGCCTGTTACTATGGATGCGGCCGGGAGGGGAGGTGAGTCACAGGACCCGCCCCCTCACTGTGAAGCCCGTCGGTACCATTTGATCCACGGACCGGTACCGGTCCACGGCCCAGGGGTTGGGGACCACTGGTCTAAGGTCCCTATCTTGCATGCATATACATACTGTACATGCAAACTAGGGCCAATTTACACAGGAACCAATTACCTACCGACATATCTTTGGAGATTTTGATCTCCTTTTGAAGATGCTAGTTGCCTTCCTGATATACTGACCCTCTGTTTTCTTTTTGGAAACATGGACAGCAGACAGACTGGAGAATGGATATGGTTAGAAAGTTCCTTTGGCCTAAATGTAACAGTGAGTGAGTGTTGAGTTGAGTGTGGGAACTAAACCAACTTCTAGTTGACAATAAAAGCAGATAAAAAGCAAGAAAAGCAGAGGAATGCTCCTCATGTGTATGTGGGGTATTTGATAGTATAATGTTATGACAATGGGTTTTGGGGCATTAATAAATCTTCCTCATCAGGACTTTAATAGCATAATAAAGCTGGCATAGGCATTAAAACAAATCTTAATCCAAACATTACGGGAGATGTTTTTGGAAAACACTGCCTTAGATAT